ATTTTTTTTTTTTTTGTTGTTTTTTTTTTTTTTTTTTTAACTGAAGGTCAGGCCTGGTAAATATTTTGGAGCCTTGTCAGTGAATGGACACAATGTTCTGTTCGGGTGTAATGATTAGCCTCTGTTCCTTTTCGTAGCATGGATGTCAATGAGCCTGTTGAGGAACAGAAGAAAACAAGGATAAGATACAGGTCATTGGATAAGGCTGTTTTGTATTAAAAAGAAACCACCTTAATAAACTGCAAAACATTGAATGAGCCAAGAGCTGTTGAGTTTTTCTTTTACCCTCATGGCTCTACAGTTAAAAACACAGCAGCAGCCCTCTCTGCATTTTCAATTTTTATCAGTGTCAACTCCAGCAAAATACTTCATAGTAACACTTTATAATACAGTACACAAAAAATGTGAGCAGTGAGTGAAGAACACATCAGGAACAACCTGATAATTAACTGACAATGAGTAGATCTTGAATAACTACAAATCAAGGACTACATAGCAGATTATGATGAGTTACCGGAGAGCAGACTTAGAGATGCTTTATTAATGGATCATTAGGAGATGATTAGTTTATTAGTATCAGTGAAACAGAGTAACAGCCACATTCTTTATGAGCCGTCCCTGATTAATGCTCATTAAGATAAAATATAACAATTATCATTACTTTTGATTGTTTCTGATTTTATGAGTCACAATTTATTTTTAGAATATTTTTTATTTTGCTTGATGTTGAGATGTGTAACTATGTAATTAGGCTTTGTGAAAGCAGTTTGCATTTGGAACTATTACCACTCGACACAGATTCATCACAGCTTACTTATATTTCCCGCTCTGTTTATCCGACTTGGATATTAATGTTTATGTGGCCTTATTACAATATAATGATTAAATTGTTTTTTTTTGACAACCCACCTGCCTCTGGATTGTTAAGGAACTATTTGTGAATTACCCAGAAAAAAATCTCATTACATCTACTTCTCATAATCATAATGTAATGAGGAAATACTTAATAACTACACAGTAAAATATGACATACACAAAACAGCTAGGTAATGCTCAGATAATCATGAAGTAATGCTAGAGCAAATAAAAATGGGTTATATTTAAGGACAGGCTTCTAGCTGTTCTTTCATGTCTTTAATAAAGGAAATCCTATGAATAATTGTGAAAAGGGACGAGGCCATAAGTGTATGTACTGAAGTATTCCTTTCCACATGGAATAGCTTTCAGATCCTGCAAAATTCTGCAGTTAATGAGTCGATTTAGCCAGTCTTTTGATCAAGAAACTAATTCTGACTATCATGTTATATGTATAAATCCATAACTGTTAATTCATAAATGATTTAGGGTGACAATGGACACATGTGACACCCAGGACTGCCCATATAAATCATTCAGACACTTAAATATGAGTTGGCAAATCCACACAGAATTGCACAAATTCCCAGGGCTGGCAAATAAATATTTATGACACCCCCCCTCCCCCCAGTTCTCCTTTTCTCCCTGTCCTTGGTAATTGTGTGTGATTCATTTTGTTTTCTTGGTGGAAGAGGGAAAATCAATCTTAGAATATTGGCTATGAGACAAAAAGCATGCAGATTCCAAATGCCTGTGGTTTTGTGGAATATACAAGCTGCGCAGATACTCAATGTTCTTGAGAGAGGAATTCAGTTTAATCTTTACTAGATTTCCTTGTTTTTTTTGAGAAAAAAAAAATGCTTGCGGCAGTGAAGTTAGCACGCCTGCAGAGTCAGGCTAACCTGCTCCTGACTCTCATTTACTTAATGACTTTTAATAAGTACATATCACCTCGTAGCAATGTAAGACAGGCAGCCAAATCAGCCCTTTACAAAAGTGCTTTTTAAATGTAGCTTGTTCTTTCAGCTATCACTTTTTTTCCCTAAAACATAACCCCCTAAATATCACCTTCAGCTATATCACCTTTGTCATAAAATAAAGGCTACACACTTGAAGTAGCCACTCCCTTTGATATAACCACAGTCTTTATGCACTTCTAAACTTCCAATAACTCCCTTTGATTCACCTTGTTTGCATATTGATACATCAAAGTGACTGCGTCCTGAGAAATGGTGGATTCCATTGTGTTCCAAGTCCTGGTTGATGTTTATTTAAGCTCAGTGGTGAGAGCGATACTAGAAAATACATAATGAATAGACACTAATGGCTGATTCAATCCATGTCTGAGCTACGCTGAACCTTCAGAGGAGGCATATATTCTGCTGTTCATCAAGTTCCCTTAAATGTTATAATTTCTGCTTCCTACAAGATGCAGCAATCATGTTTTTTGATTGCTTGTGTGCCAAAGTGACCTGAACTTGGGTTATATACTCAGTATGCAAATAAGAATAATCATTAAAAACTCACGTAACTGCTGTTTTCCTCTGCATCTTACGACGGCTCCTTGGGCAAAGGCTGGGAAAGAAAAGCAGAAGGTCAGCATCAGAGAAGCAGAGGATGAGTCCTCACTAAAGTTTTATTCAGCTTTCTCACTGCACATTGGCCTTGGATGCAGAGCAGCATATGTCCATTTAAAAGCACAGATGTCCAATTAGATCAAAGGCAAGAGGAAGGAAGATGAAGGCTGTTTTGTTCTCTCCCAGTTTTTATGACCTCTGCGGATGCCGTTTCTCTCATCGACCAGAAAATATGAGCAAGTAATGGCCACCTCATCATCTTCATTACTGAGAGACCCTTCAGTTCTTCCACAGATAAAAATTTTTTTTATCACGTTAGCTGTACGACAGGGTGATAAACAGTGTTCCGCTTTGTTTCACTGTGAACAATAACTTCTCTTCTCCATCCATCTTTAGGAGAACACATGAAAACATGTTGTTTTCCCCCTGACCGGGGGAAAAAGCAGCTCACTTGCCTTCTTAATGTTGGTGAATGAGCCACTTTTGTGTAGATAATGACTCGGCTAATCATAATCAGGAAGCTAATGGCCTGTTTAGCCAATCAGAGGAATCAAAGCGAGACAGCTGTTTGGGCAGTGCATTGGCATTCCCAGCAGCCACAGCTCTTGTTTCAGCCACGCCAGACTTTATGCAGCAGCATGGCCGACATCCGCAGCCTGCCCGGCTTGACGTCCTGCGATCTGTCGCTCTGTCTGTCCTACAGGTCGACTGGCCCTGGTGCTGTTGAAAAAATTCAGTCCTCTGAAAGGCACTGATCCATCACAGCTCTCCAGTAGCATGTCATCTAAATGCTAAGTACTTCCACTGCATCTTTAAATCAAAACAAGAAAAGAAATAAGCGGGGGGAGGTGAGTGAGGAGGAAGGGATGAAAGCTTATAAGGCCACAATAGAATCTGCAGAGCAAACCCTTAGCTTTTTGATTACATTCATTTTTGAGGGCGACAAAATGTGGAATCAGAGAAACTGGGTGAGAGAGATATGTATAAGGAACCCAGAGACCTTGTTATTTCTTCAAATGTACAAGGATAAAGCTAAGGGAGTTATTGATATACCTGCCCCAGTAGGTTGGTTGATTTCTCTCTATCATGAATGTACCTGAGCTGGTCCCTCAATAGAGCCCCTTTCCTCATTTCCCTGTCTCGTCCATCTCTTAGCTATCGATCAGAGGGATTCTTAAAGTCGGAGCAGAGTGCTGAGGAGGCAAAAGCGGCTGGCACTATTAACTGCTCCTACTAATTAAAAGGCTAACAACAAGGTGAGTTTGGCCCCAAGGGATGAACTGTGCAGGAGACAGAGCTGGCTGTTTGCCTGCCATGCACACCGGTAAACAGTGCTCACCATCTCTGGTGTTTACACTCTAGGAATTCAAGGACATCAAAGACATATTTATCTCCCGGCACAAGGGATGATGCAGATTGACGGATAAGGAGTGAGAGTGAAAGAAAGCAGCGAGCACACTAATAAGCGCTTTACTAATTGGTTATGTTCTGGTGAAAATGAAACATTTGGATCTTGTCTCTGAGCTTGGGGTGCCTTTGCATCATCACCACTTGTAAACATTAAGCGCTGTGTGTAAACGATAAAGTTTCACAGTTCAAATGAGCTGTACAGCCTGGATATTTGAGCGAGTGCCAGTGGAGATTGGCAAAAATATTAAGGGGATTCAATTAACCTCCTTCCTTATCATCAACACAGCATATTTTAGGATCAAAGTATTTTTAAGATACAGTATGACTCACATTACACAAATAAAATCCTCATCCAAGGTAGCATTACAACTCCCAGAAATCTTTGTAGCCAAGAGGGAAAACCACTGCAGGTACTGCAGACGGCTGGTTTGCTTAGTGCTCTCTCACCCACCCAGCCATTATGGAGACAGGCACTGTGCCATCACTACAGTAACTAAAAATCGTACCCCAGGGTCTCTCCTAACAAGTGGGCTCCTGCACAGGACCTGGTTGGTTTCATCAAGTGGAAACTCAGAGTTCCCAGTCATTACCAGCCAGACAGCAAGCTGTTGTTGCTATTAGACTAACAAGCACAGCTATAGCCTACTAAAGAGCCTGGCTGGTTGCTTCATGAGTCTGATGTACAAAAGCGTCAAGAGCATCAGACCCAGAGCTGTCTCAAAGAAACAAAACCAACATTAGTTGCTGTACAAACCATCTGTTTGCATTCAACTCCTGCAGCTTGAAATGTGGTTAATTAGAACAGAATTTCCAAGGCTGGCAACAAACGATTAGATACAGTAAACGATGCTAAAGATACATTTAAAATATGATAGCTGAGGTGTGAGCTTGCCACTACAAGCGACCTATCGCATTACAGTCATTTGAGACCCTGGCAATAGAAAAATAAAGTTGATATAGTGCAGTTTTAACAACAAGTCAGAAGTGCTTTACATTTTTGCTGAGCATTTTGACATGTATTGGATTCCATTCATTTCTGTGCTTTTGAAATTGGCTTGTGCATTTAAAAAAAATAAAAGTTACACTACAGCTGCATGATAAGGCAGTTTATGTGCAGATTAATATGAAAAGTCAACAACACACTGTCTCAAAAAAACAATGTAGCTGACAAAAATAGTTTCAGACTCGGTGTTCACTGTAATAACATAGATCAAGCAAGGTTTCAGTACAAAGTTTTATACTGTACAGAAATGGATGCAAAGCAAGGACATCTGGAATGGAAGGGGAGCTTTCTAAAACACAGGAGCATCCTTTGCAAAATGGTTAACTATGATGTTTACAGTATGTGAAGTGTTGTAAATTGACTAAATCAAAGGTATTTTTCAGTGTTATATCACAATTTATAAGTTGACCAATTCGTTTATAATTTTTTAACCTACACACTAAATAGAAGTTACATCTGTTGAATGAATATTGTAAAGACAACATACAGTATAGTCAAATCATTTTTCTTTATATACCCTGATATAATGCATCACAGATTTGTGATATTGAAACTTTACAACACCCTTGTGCGTTAGATCCTCAAATCGAATAAGTAAAAACATACTGACAATAAATAAATGTGCATTAATCCATGGCTTAAAAATAGCCCCCCAAAATTATTTGGTCCCAAGAAAGACTTCTTAGGACAAATACTTCAACTGGAATTAGGTTTTTAGGCTCCCTACTGCATCATAAAATGGAAAATGGTTATGGCTGGCTGCACTTTTGGTAGCAGCACTGAAAAAGAAAATGCACAAGCATAGTGCACAAAAGGCATCAGAGCTCTGTCACAAGCTGTTGCTGAGCATGCTTTAATGTGTCCACTCCATGGACAAGATTTCTGCATTACTTATTATAAGAACCCTTTGTTGAAATGTGGCCTGTGACTTTGACTCTGTCACACCAGGCAAAACTCTGGGGACGAGTAAAACACAAATGGCAGTTCAAAGCCTGGCAATGACAGAACTTCAAACAAGGTAGCGATGTAAAGTGTGCTGAAAGTGACAGCAGATGGGACTGCATTCACTCTAGGTCTCAGACACACAGGAGAGGGGGCAACATATGCCCACCACAGGCAAACTGGAAAAAAAAATCCTAATAGATGGTGACAGCACCAGAGGAAACAGCAACAACAAAAACAGGTTGCTGTTTTATACCCTGTCAATGAATTCCAAAGGAAATAGTGTTGGACACTAAATGTAATCATGATGCTTCCTGCAGTTTGTATATTCAATAGCACAACACTAGGATAACACAAATAAAAAAGGAAAAAGGGAAAGGTGGGCTTGTTTTAGCAGTTCTCTTTTCTGAACATCTCTATCAATCTAAAGCTTTTCAGTGTCATTTCTGCTTCAGTCCACATGCTATCTCCTCAAGACTAATGATCTCGCCACAGCATCAAGCAAACAAATGAGCTGAAGTCCAAGGAGCGAATTTGTCATTTCTGTTTGATAAATAGAAGATCTGTGAATGAAACTGAAATAAAGGGTATATTTGCTTATCATGTGTAATCTCTGTGCACTTTGGGTATGTTTGGCAGGGGCTTGCATGTTGTCTGAATGTCAGTCATTTTCTAAATCCAAAGGCAAAGCAGCTACAGAATGTGATCCCTGAGGCGCCGTAGAGAGGCTATCGGATACAGCGTGACAGTTCACAAACAGGAATGTATGTCAAAGCCTGGAGTTCAGCCAGAAAATTATAAAACATAAAAGCTGGACTCATGCTCTTTTGCCAGATTTATGTATCAAAAAAAGGATGGTGGCGCATTCAAGTCAACAGCTTGCCAGTTACTTAAAGGTAAAAGTTTCAGTTAATTGCAAATTTGCATCTCTCTTGGTATTTACTGCTACAAAGGTCTGCAGTAAAAATCTGCTTATTTCAGCCAAACAGAACAAATTCTATTACCTGTACACAATTATTGGACTTTACTTGTTGGGGCACACAATTTAATAATTTCAGCTGCAAATGAGAATGAAAAGCAGCAGAGCACAGAATGGTATAGAGCACAGCATGAATATCCTGTATTTGAAAATGCTCAGGTCTGGTTGAATGACATAGAGCACAGCATGAATACCCTGTATTTGAAAATGCTCAGGTCTGGTGTTTCCAATGCATTTTGAAGATACAAACATTTCTCTTTTGACCTCCAGTCCTGATTTCGTCACTATCCCGCTGTGTTGGAAATGAGACCATTTTTATGACTCCGTGACAGCTGTAGCTGGAGGCATTATGTTTTCAGGTTGTCCATCCATAAGTCCCATTCTTGTGAATGCAATATCTCAGAAAGGCCTTGAGGGTATTTCTTCAAATTTGGCACAAATGTCCACTTGGATTATCAAGGATGACATGACAAAGCTCTCTATCAGTCCTCCTCTGTAAAAACAGTTTCCAAGTGAAGGCAGCACATTTCTCACTGGAAATTATTCACCAGAATCATACATCAATATAATGATAACTTCTGTTTTGCCAAAAAATACACTTAATATCTTCCTCCAAAGTCTTTGCTACACATATTAATCTCTACCGGTTGGTGGGGGCACACTA